AATGTACTTTATATACACTTTCAGTAAGAGACTGAACTTTATTTTCCTTCAAACAGACAACTCTGGTGCTTCCCCTGGGGCGAAAGCCCATCAGCCCTACTGCTGAAGCCCTTCATGGACACAATACTGAGAGTGGCTGCAAACAAACATTTAATACTGTCGTGGTTTTGCCCATCAGCCCATCCCTGGGGCTGAGGATGGTTTTGTCCAGGTAATTTCCGGACAAAAAGGCCAATCAAAAGTCCAGTGATGCCTTTGCTAATTACATCTTCAAAAAAACGGAAGAGAAGGTTGTTGGCGCAGTTGAAATTAGAAGCAGCAGCCATGTAGGGGAAAGGAGTAACGGGCCCGAACAGGGCCAGACTCCCTCCTCCCCCGGCTTGGGCCGGGGGGGGGAGCAGGTGCAGCACTGAAGTCCTCCCTTCTCTCTTGTAAGAGAGTGAAGAAAAAGAAAGTTTAAAAGATGAACTGCTTGGACAGAAACCGCTGTGGAAGAATTCCAGCCGAAAGATAACGAAGCTTCCAAGGTCAAAGCTGGCAGCTGAAGCTGCAGCAAGAAAAGTAAAGTGTGAAAGAAGGGGGCTTGTTTCCCCACCCTCCCTCCCCCCTTTTTGCTCTCTCTCCTTAGCAGGGAAAAGACTGAAAAGTAATCCCTGCTACTTGTAAAAGTTTGTTGGAGTAAGGAAACCCCCCATGCGGCTGATAGAGGAGTCTGTGGATGTACCAAAGAGAACCGAGACTTCATGTGAAGGACTGAAGTGAGGCAGAGTCCTGGTGGAGATTTGTGACCCTGAGGGAAACCTGTGCTGGAGCAGTGACGACTCAGGTGGGATATTGGGATCCTTGTGTGTGTGGATCCATACTGCTATTGAAAATTTTGTAACCCTGAGAAATCTCATGCTGGAGCGAGACGGCCCATGTGAGATGTTGGAATCCGTGCGTGTGTGGATTCATATTAGACCCATGCCGAGAAGTCTATCAAGGACTGTTCTCCCATGGGGAGGGACCTCCATAGGGAAACAGGGGTGAACTCTTAAGCCATTATCCCCTGTAACCCTGTGGAAGAAGATCCATAGTAAGCAAGTGTCCCCTTGCAAGCCTATGGAAGGAAGACCCTTCAGGACCTGAGTAACCTCCAGCCTTCAGTCTTAGCCCAGGAGGGGGGTAAGCCCAGCCCTGGAAGCCAACACAGAGCGAGAAAGAGAGAGAAAAAGTTCCAGCTGCAACGAGAATACTGCTGCTACTGAAGATCTATTACTAGAGAGAGAGAGCTGGAACTCCAAAAATAGAGAATGAGACTACTTCTTCTCCTTGGACTAGTATAAATGGGGAAGAAGTATTTCTGTAAATATATAGCACTTCAACTTGAGTAGAAATTGTTGTAGATATAGTTCTTTAGTTTTTAATTTATTAGTAGTTTTTGTTTCACTAGTAATAAATGTTTATACTATTTTCCCCAAATCCTGTCTCTCTTTTGTCTGCAAAAACCTTCTCTCAACTACTAGTAATTGTGTGGGGGGTGGAAAGCAAATTGACCCAGAGCAAAACCACAACACCCCCTTATCTTCCTGTTCAAATCCTTTGCACTCTGACCCTCTTGCATTCCAAGGCTCTGTGTAAATCACTCCATTTCATAGAAAATTATATTTTTGTGACTTCCACTTAAAAATTTTCCTCCTCAGCTACACTACAAAACAACTCCAATTAGTTGTTTAAGAATTAAAAACACGAAGATAATGAAAGGAAAAAAAAATTGTTTGTCTGTATTTTAATGAGCTCCACAGTGTGTTTAGAGACAAGTCCATCATCCTGAGGTACTGAGAGAAGATTGAAGAAGTT